TTACTTGGCTTCGATTATTTTCAGGATTTTTAGGAAAGGGTCACTTTCATCTCTGTATCAATTAGGTCCTTGGAAAATTCCTGTAATACTAATTTTTATAATACAATTTGGAATTTTGGAATTCAAAAATGTATTCTGGATAAGAAGTGCAATGGGGTACTTTCTCAAATATACAATGTGTTTAATACTTGGAATATTCTTAATTACCTCTTGGGATATTCTTGGATGGGTCATCAAACACTTGCCTATAAGCTTGCCAAAAGTTTGCAAGGTAGATTAATCAAAGTAGTTTTATCAAAGATTTAAAGGGTGGGTTAATTTTAAATATTATGAATTACTTTTTTTTTCAGTGTAGCCAGTACAACAGTTATGATTAGATTGTATCAGTTTGAAGATTTTTTACTTCTTTTGTTAGACCAAGTATATTTGAGAGGATGCCAGCTATTGAGAGAAAAAATCTGAATGAGGTTGATGTACAGAATGGGCTGGTGACAGAGGAAGAAGATTTTGGTGACACTTCCATTACCAAACTAGTAAAAGCAAAAGATGAAGGAGTTAGTCAAATTTTTATTTGTTTATTTATTGTAAGACTGTTCACAGGAGAACTTAAGCTTGATATATGTACTTGAATCCTTTAGATCGGCGTTTCCCAAACTTTTTCGGCCACGGAATACTTTTGAGCTTTAAAACTAATGATAGAACCTATAAGAAACATAAGTCATAAACAAATTATTATCAGAAGAACTTGTTTTTTGCTTTAAATTTTCTTCTTTTAGCCACCTACCCATGGCTAAGTAGTGTCAGTACTTGAAATCACTGTAATTTTAAAAAATATTTACAAACTCAAGATTATCTTGTTGTTTTCTTGAAACACTACACATGACTATCACTGGCAAATAACTTATAACAAATCATCAAATAGGCTCAAACCATTAATGAAATAACCAATGACAAAGGGAATACAGGGTGGTACGATTTATGGGCTGACAGGCTTTTAAACCATACCTATACCTGGTCTGCTCCTTTACTCCTACTACACTACACAACATTTTATTGCATAAACCCGGGGTTCCATGAAACACAGTTTGGGAAATGCTGCCTTGGGTGTATATTATTATGAAAAAAAAGGTTTGGAATTTGGATAACCAATTGTTAAGATGAAATACTGAAACCAGTCAATAAACAAGAAAGAAAATCCATTACTAATGAGTATATAAAATTCTGAATTAGTAAGTTTCCAAGAAATTAAAAAAGTACTCAGGAAAAAGATCCTACAGATATAGTATAAGGCTTATACTTAGTTTTAAAATAATCTTATCATCATTCTAGAAGTGTATGAAAGCAATGTTTCAGAACTGAAAACAATTATTCTTAAAATGAAGTCTGACACAACGTTAGAAATTGCAGGTGATCATTAATCCACTATTCTCTAATGCAGAAATTTACAACACAGACATGTTTTGACTAGATGTTTTCAGAGTTGTTTAAAACAAAATTATATATTTAATTCATATTGCTAGAAAATCATCTGTTTTCTTTGTGTTGAAACAAATTTAACTTTTGTATTTGGTTATATATTATCAGATGTTTATTTTTCAAAGTTTGGTTCTTTTTCTAGGTGCTATAAAACTACTTGAAAGTGAGAGTTTGTGAAATAAATCATGACCAGTGAGGTTTCAGCCTTCAATATTGTAAAAAAAATTTCAAATTTGATCTCATTAGGCTTTTAAACTTTTCATTTTTTAAACAAAAGTATTTTAATAATGTAATAAATCTTCATCTGAAAATGTTATTTGATAAAAAAAAATAGTAGTATTTGAAATCATTTGGTGGATATAATAACATGAACATTTCAAAAATAATTTATTTATCTCAAATGGATTGAAAGTTCTTTTGGCTCTCTTTCTGTTTGTAAGTCCCCTGGGGGGACAGCGGGAAGTTTAAGGACTTACACATTAAAATTGGGGGTTCAATTCCATGTTGTGGACACAACAGATAGCCCTGTATGACTTTGCTCTAAAATACATAACCAAACCAAACTGTTTGAAAACCAGTACCATAAATGGTAATGAAACTTATAAATAACATTTTTTTTTAAGAATCTTGTGGGATTGAAAAATAGTTTAAATATTTATTAAAAGAAATAAAAGCAGCTCAAACACAGCACACTCATTTATGTCATAATTGTTAGTTAGCAGTTAGCTGATGTTTAAATATTATCTAAAACAATTAGGACTAACTGATTTTCATTCACTCATTCTATACAATTTGAAACATGAATAGGTTGAGGTAATATTATCTTGCTACTTCTCAAGTGCTAGGCAAAATGGTAAATAATAAGGGTAGCTGAATGCTATTGTCATTATTAGCCTAATGTCACACACATTGTCCAAAACTGGTTATGAAATCTTACAATGTATTGCTTTAACTAGAAACTTGTTTTTGTAGTTTAGCCCTTTCGTAAACTTTATATAATTCTCGTGAAGAATGCATTAAAAAAAGCTGAGGGTAGTGAGTATAATATATGAACTAAAAAAAGCAGGAAACAGTAATACTACATAAATTATAATCCTCAAAATATTTATACAGCAGAATGTTGCAGTATTGTATTCCATACAATAAATTACAATTGGATATTTTGAAATTAGTTTTGTATGCTAACTCTTATCAAGACCATTTGTGTTTTATAATGTTTGTGACTTTGGAAAACTCCCTTTTTAATTTAGAAAAACTAATTGTACTAGAATTTTTATAAATATGATTTATTAATTGACACAGCAGTTTTTAAAAATGTAACACATAAGGGATGAGATTTAGACCATTCAGTCATTTTGCATTAAATTCAATTTGGTAAGCTTTCCATCATTTAGTGTCAGTGTGCATTCATATTACAGTGCTATTTCTATTAGCTGTTATTCTAACATTTAAATCATATGCAATGATAAACAGAAATACATTTTAAAATAAATAAAAGTACTACATAGGAGAGGAAACTACAAAGTGTAAAGAAAAACAAACAAGGTGAAATACTCTGGAAATTAAAATAACTTTGTTTTTCCTCTACATTTGTAGTTTTCTATAACAGGCAGTTGCTGTTCATTTGAAACTTAGATTCATTATGAATACTCTGCCTAAACAACCTATCAAAGATTAAAAATATTACTATTTGAAAATGGGAAATAATTTTATATATATATATTAAAAAAACAGAAACACTCAAATATGAAAAATTCATTTGGCAATCATTTTCTGAATCAAATTTTGTTCGCCTCTTGTAGTGTATCATGAATATGAAAATTAAGCAATATTTTACACAGTTTTAAATGTAAGAGTTACTAAAATAGATTGAAACAATCAGATGCAAAAGGTTCTCAGAGCTGTAGGAGATTTTGTTTTGCATACAGTTCTCTCTGTAATATTCAGAGTTTATGAATCTATAAATTTAAAACTAATGGATTTTCTTTTTTGTTTCAGAATGCTTTATTGGATTTACTAGGAGCACCACAAGAGACTCAGCTTAATCTGCAGGAAAACTCCCAGCATGCTGTTGTAAACAGTGGAGGCTCCAATCTTTTAGACCTTCTTGGTGGATTAGAGCTTAATCACTCTCCTGAAGGTAAGGTAAAGGTCTTTTTTTCAGTAGGAAATGATGTTCATTTATTGTTGCTTTATTGCAAAAAGAGAAAAATATGTGCAGTTTGCATTTTTTTAATGTTTCACTATATTTTTTCACATCTTCAGCGTACATCAACTATTGGTAGCATTAAAGTTAATTAAAGAATATAGCTGTTTGTAACATCAAAACCAGCTTAGACATGTACAAATTTATAGTATGAAACCTAAGAAAAATAGTTTTTTGTAACATCAAAACTTAATGAAAAAAATCAGTTATTCTTTTGAAGTAATAAAGTTGGTTACTGTATGTGTGCAAAAGATAAAAGGTTAGATATTTATGAGGTGTGGTAAATTGTTAGAAAAAACATTGGAGTTGTCAGTATTAGACACTTCAGTTCTAGGTTGCCAAACAGTACTACACAATTTGTTATGAATGACAGAAAATGACAGGGACTTCTTGGTGAGTTAAAACTTTAAATTATCCTTATTCCAGAACTTTGAACACTTGCCACAATTACATAGGACGACAAGCTACTCAAATGTTTCTAGGTTGCCAAACAGTACTACACAATTTGTTATGAATGACAGAAAATGACAGTGACTTCTTGTTGAGTTAAAACTTTAAATTATCCTTATTCCAGAACTTTGAACAAAGTAAATATTAATTATTAGTGAAATCTAAAATGTTACAATTTAAAAACAATAAAGATAATTAATAGTTTCTTTCTTGTAGTAAACCATAATAAACATTAATGCAGTAAGCACTTTATATTGAATGTCTAGACCAGTGATTTTGAACATGGGGTGCACGTCCCACAGGGGGGCAATTTGAAAATGCTACAATAAGAAAAAAATTTCATTTGGGTGTGAAATTTTGGTAAATTTCTAAATTTTACATTATATTATTATACTTTTTCAACACCAAATTTGTTTTTATATTAAGGGGGCATCAAATTTTTTGAGGTGTCGAGGTGGGGCATGGAGTAAAAAAGGTTAAGAACCATTGGATTAGACTGATAGGTGATATTAAATATAGTAGAAGAGTTAAATAATGACAGACAATAATATATTGTGATTAGTAGAACAGCTAAATAGCAAAAATAATGTGCTGTTTATGATGAAAATATCCAAACAAGGTAATAGACATTTACACATTGTTTACTACTACAAAAGCTGAAAAGCAGTAGAGTAATATACAGTTTTTTAATAGAATAACTAAAGTGATGGACATAATGCACTTATTATTAGAGCAGATAATCAAGGATGATACACTGTTCAGCTATATGTTGATGAGCTGTAACATATTCTTTATCAATCATAGCAGAGCTATGTTTTTTAGTAGGCTTAATGCAGGTGTCTTGCTTAAGACATTCTGTAGAAGTTCTTAATGTTTTTTTATATTTTTAAAACCAGAACTGTAAAGAAGAAATTTGTTTGAAGGATGTTATTTTCTTCTGAATTTATTTCACATAGCTCAACCCCCATTGTCTTTTCCAACTTCAGAAGAATCTAATATAATAATGGATGGTCATTTGTCTCATCAGCAGGACAAAAAAGGTATGAAAGTTTTCGTTAAATTTGTCTCATTCTGTTATATATATACCTTGCAATTTGGTTTTAAAATGTATTCAAAGCATAAGTTTTATAACTTAATGTCTAAAAGCTAAAAGGAAATGACTTGTAGATATATTCAAATACTGAATATTTTTCTCAAGAAGTAAATTATACATTAATAATATATTAAATTATCAGTTGCTGCAAAGCTATTTTTTAATATAGTTTTTAGAAGAAAAATTATATAAATAATCAGCCACACACACACACACACGCACACACACACACATAGATATATGTACACACACACATTTCATTGTATGTTTCATGTACTAGTAAGGCCGAGTGTGGTGTGATGGTCAGCATACTGAATTATAGATTTTCATATCCATTGTTTGTGTCCTGTTACTGAAAAAAATTATAAAAAATCTGAATATGCACTATGGGGCTGTTGAGTGCATTATAAGGGTCAAATCCCACTATTTGGCCAGACAAGAGGTGGAAGTGGGTGCTTTTGACTAGCTGCCTTACATCTAGACTTTGAGTTTAAAATTAGAGATATCCATTGAGTAGCTTTATGTGTAAAAATCCAGAAACAAATTGCTTACTAATAAATTTTAGATTTAAAAAAATAGATGTTACTTTTGGTATGATATGATTTTAAGGGCTTATAATTTATCAAATAATGTACAATGTTGCAAATTGAGAACTGTATAATAAAGATTAATTGTTATTTTCTTAATAATTTATGCTCTTTACCTGTAATATTATTATTTTCTTTAGTCTATAAAAACCGTAGCATGTTTTGGTTTACCATTTGTATTCAGTACACAGTAAAGAGGAGATATAACCAACATACTAATTTTGCTATTTTTTTTTTGTATCACCAAAATTGTGCTCTTTCATGAAAAGAAATCTAAAGGCCAAGTCTATTTTTGGTTTTGTCAACTGTTACTAAATGATGTCATTTTTTAAGGAATTTTATCCTATTTCAGTAATCCTGCACAAAAAACTAACCAAAGAAAGAAATCAGATGTTTTCAGATAGAGAGAAATTATTTAAGTGCTGTTGAGTTGAACTTACCACCAAGTTTTTACTTTTGAAATTCCAAAAAGGATTTCTCATTGAAATACCTATGTTCTAGTAAATAAGTTATAATGTAGTACTATGGAAGGGTAGCACATAAAATACCCACACACTAGAAATTGGAATGGCTTGTTCTTTCTTTGTCAAGAGTGATACAAGTGTATATACATCTAATTGATGAACAATGATTTCAGTAGTAAATCAAAAGTCAACAGCAGATGTGACAAAACCACAATATTTTTGTGTTTATTTTTTATAATGTACTACATGGTTTCATCTGTTCTGCTAAGTGATGTGATCACTCGGGTTTACACATGAATTCTACAAAGAAATGAAACTTTAACCATTGCTAAAATTTTATTATTATTATGTATTATAAGTATTAACTATTACATGATCAAATTATCCATAACATATTTCCCATGGGCACTGTTATACTTTTTTTGAGACTCCTGCATATTTCTGGTTCATCCCTGTACACGTTTATGAAGGCTTGTAGGCTTAACAAATGCTTTTAGCTCTCGAGGAAGTTGCATTTCTTCAAAAAAATTTCATAATTTGGATAATGATTGTCTTACAGTAGATGTTTTTAAGCATCAGTGTTGTATTATATTTTAATTGTAAATTTGTGTCCCAGCAGGGATTCCTCCTCTTAGAGTATTTGAGAAGAATGGCTTGAAGTTAGATTTTACCTTTGAACGTCCATCAGACAACTTGCAGATGACAGTGATGACTATGTTAGCAAAAAATGAAACTTCTGATCCCTTGTGCGACTTCTTGTTCCAGGCTGCAGTTCCAAAGGTGTGTATAAATATCTGTGTAGTATAGACCAGTGGTACCCTACTGTTAGTCCATGGACTGGAGTCTTTCTGCTGACATGTTTTTGCCAGCCCACAGATACATCCAGAGAAAAAGAAAAGAAAGAAAAAAACATATATTGTAAAATTTATATTTTGTACATGTGCTAGAGATAGGTGCAAAGTGTTGTTTCCTTCTTAGGTTATTGTAAAATAAGTGAGTCTAAAGTATATTTTAAATAGAGAAAATAATTTAAAGCACGCAACCTTTTTCTGCATGAAGTGATTGAAGTACCTTAATACTGTTACTTTTAACTTCCATTGTCACCTGTTATTGCACCAGTAGCATGCAATATATGTTAAAAGTTATCAATGCTTAGAACAAAGATAGTTTTTGTTCACTACTTTACTATGAGTTTGCTTTATTATATGAAAATATAACCCACCATGCTTTAAACCTACCATGCTACTGTAATTTCATGAGATTTGTTTTCACACTTTCAGCAATCTTGCAGACTTTCCATTAAAGTGTTTTGTAACTGTTTGTAAAAGCTTTTGGACAAATGTGATTTCTAAATTCTCACTAGCTTCAAGCAGAAGGTGGTAAAAAAAAGCAAGTTGCTTGGAAATAGATGAATTTTATTTATCTTAGATAAGCAAAGCTCACAGTTGGTTTGTTTAAGAAATTATTATTACAGAGATGTCAACCAGTACTATTTGGGCATACTGATTATGTTATTAACTCTTTCAGCATGGGCTCGGTCCCTGAGACTGACCTCGTAACTATATTGTGCTTGTTATAGTTTTCATGCTGTAACTTTTAAATTAGTAAACGTATGTTAACGAAATTTGGCAGATTATCAGTAACAATGCTTTTGTATGCAAAATATCAGATATTTTTATTAAGTATTAAGGTTTATTAAGCAATGTTTTTCTCATGCCTTTTTTTTTCTTTTTGCATGTTACCTATCCAACATGGAAACTAATTTTCATTTTAAGATTAAAAATACTTTTATGCATCAGAAAATTTTCAGATTTCACATACGAAATCTTTATAATGTCGAGATAGTTATCACACGTTTCTTAAGAAAAGAACTTTATATTTTATCTGTTATTTTCACTAACGAATCTCTGTACAGGTTCAGTAGATTTGACCAATCTTGTAACCACCATGAAAAAAAAGGAAATAAATATAAATTATGCCTCTTTCATTCTAGAGTGAACACAAATTAAAACACAAATGTTTAGTCTAAATAGCTTAAATCTCATAACATTATACATATATATATATATTATATTGACCTTCCAGTCATGCCTGGCTAACAATACAGAAGTTACAATGATGCGGCACACATGCTCTCATGTTACTGTATCCAATAATATAAAACTGACCTTTAGTCTTTACAAAATTACATGTCTTGGCTGTGTCTTTGTAGACTAGTATTTTGTAAAATACAGACACATTTCCATTATTATACATTATATATATATATATATATATATATAGATTATTACTATTTAGAAATAACTTCT